TATATCCCCCCCCCCTGGGAGCCCCAAGAGGCTTCAGGAAGCCCCAGGTGGGGTCCAGGAGGCCACAGGAGGCCCAGGAGGAAGCCCCAGGAGGTCACCAGGAGGTCCCAGGAGACCCCAGGAGGCCCCAGGAGGCCCCCGCAACTCGGAGCTCTGAGACGCCGCGCTCGAGGTGGTCTGGCCCGTTTCGCCTGAGACTTCCTCGCAGCACGTTTCGCCCGAGACATCGTCGCAACTCTGGGGTCCGAAATGCCGCGCGCGAGGTGGTCCAGCCCGCTACGCTGGAGACATCCTCGCAACTCTGGGCTCCGAGATGCCGTTCGGGATGAAGAGGAGGTGGATGAGGAGGAGGAGGAGGAGGAGGAGGTGGAGGAGGAGGAGGAGGAGGAGGAGGAGGAAGAGGAGCAGGAGAAGGAGCAGGAGGAGGAGGAGGAGGCATGTTGTAACATGCCATGCCAGCCCGCACTGGACGGGCACGCAATCGACCTTGGAAACCGCAGTGGGTCAAAAAACCCTGTTTGGGGATACTGCACTCCCGCTATAATTTCATTGCGTGCTCCCCCACATGCCTGATCTGGGAAACTCGCCTGGGCATCGTTTCTGGATGCGCTGGTGGGGTTACACGAAGCTTCTTGAATATGAGTATGACTGGGTGTTGCCGATATCGCCCCTCTAACCTTGCTTCTGCGAGAGGTGGAGCAAAGGGAGGCATCGTCTTTCGGCCCAGGACCGCCTCTCGCTCCTCCTCGTCCACCAGCACGCGCTTGATCACCGATAAGGGGCCTGATAGCCCACCCGCCCAGGACCATGCGGTTTCGCTACCGCTGGTCCATCGCCGATCCATCGGCGATGTACAGGTCGATGTGCCGGTCGATGTTCCCCCCCCTGAGCCGATTCCCCCCGGGCGCTGCCCCTCACAAGAGAAAGGAACTGGGGAACCCAAAAGGTACCAATGCCGCCACTCCTGGGACCTCTCCCGGGGTGCGTTCTTACCAGAATTTCGAGGCGAATCCAGCGCTGGCGACGAGGGCCTCCCGGGAGGCCCAAACAGAGGAAAAACGAGGGAAGGGTACCGGTCTCGGTACCTCTTTCCCCTGCTGAGGAACGCACGAACAGGAACTGTTGGAAGACTGCGCGGATGTCTCGGATCGGCACTGGAACACCCTCTCCCTGACGCGCCGGGCGCGCCAAGGGCGGCGCCAGAGGCGCCGCCAGAGGGGCCAGCGCCGGCCCAAGAAATCCGCGCGGGCCTCCGAAAATTTAGGTTTACAATCACAAACAATTTTGGCCTCGGCTTTACGAAACATGTACGTAAAATGTTTCGTTCATGCGAGCATTCTACGTATTGGCTTCGTATTCGCCTGCAATGTTGGGGTGAATGAATTATGTGGCCAATCCCCTACTTGAGCAGTCAAAGAGGATAGCAAGGATGCGCGACAAGGATGCAAGGGCCTCGGACGCCCATGCCGAGGCTCTTCAAGCGGGGCTGGCCATCGAAAGTGGTTGAGGATGGACCGAAGATGACCGAAGAGGCAAGGATGCAAGGGTACCCTTGGGAAATCGATAATCCTGACTATCAATTTTGATTGTATGCCGCTGTCCCTTCTTCGACCTCATTCTCGTCCTTCCGCCCCTCGCTCCTCCTCGTCCTGGGGATACCACGAGGTACCGATACCGCTGCTCCCCGGAGATTTCCTGGGGTGCGGTCTGACCTGCATTCCGAGGCGAATCAAGCGGTGGCGACGGGCCTCTCCCGAGACCCAAAAAGGAGCCAACGAGGCAAAGGTAGCGGTATGGGTACCTTTTCTTCCTCGGAGCCCCAGAGCCCCACCTCTCGCTCCCCCAACTCAAAGAGTAACTTACAACTCACAGTCGGGGTTGACTGGAGAGGACACGCGAGAGGACACAAGACCCTTCCGAGAGCCAGATTGCCACGGCAATGTGCGAGAGCACGGGTCGCGAAGCACAGGGACACAAAGGCACCCCTGATTTGGATTTGGCAGGGTCGACTTGCTAATCTGGATGAGAAACGACATAAACGTAAAGATTTGGCGCTCCGCGCGGATCTCTTGGATCCGCGCTGGAACCCCCCTCTCTGGCGCGCGGAGCGCGCCAGAGAGGCTGCCAGAGGCGCCGCCGGGGGGCCCCCGCGCGGATCCAAGAGCATCCGCGCGGAGCGCCAAGAGTTTATGGCCATGGCGGTCTCTCTTCTTCGAGACTTGCTAACCTTGGCGGCGCACGCGAGGGGGTATGGGGAGGGGGGAAGACCTCCTAAAAGAGGGGGGCTCCCGAGAAGGCGCCGGCCCCACATCTATAAACAGGGCCCGCGCCGGCTAAGAAGCAGGGGTGCTTCTGAGAAGCCCTCCCCCCTCCCCCCACCCCCCTCTGCGCTCCGCCAATAACCGTAGGTCGGGCATGTCCCCCATACAAACGGTTTTTGAGCGAAAAATGGAAAATAGCCAAGCAATTCACCAAAATATGATTATCCCGGCAAAGCCACCTAACAGCGATGTGTAGGAGCACATCTGGAAGCATTCCCCTTAAGATTCGGATGAGAATCCAGTTGTAGAATTCTGCTGTTCTCGCAGTCGTAGTCGCATTCGCGATGACAGTCGCAGTGGCAACGGGAGTCGCAGTCACAGCCTCAGCCTCAGCCTGCCTCAGCCTCAGCCTCAGCCTGCCTCAGCCTCAGCCTGCCTCAGCCTCAGCCTCAGCCTGCTTCAGCCTCAGCCTCAGTCTGCCTTCAGCCTCGGCCTCAGCCTCAGCCTGCCTCAGCCTCAGCCTGCATCAGCCTCAGCCTCAGCCTCAGCCTGCCTCAGCATCAGCCTGCCTCAGCCTCAGCCTCAGCCTGCCTCAGCCTCAGCCTCAGCCTGCTTCAGCCTCAGCCTCAGTCTGCCTTCAGCCTCGGCCTCGGCCTCAGGCCTGCCTCAGCCTCAGCCTGCATCAGCCTCAGCCTCAGCCTCAGCCTGCCTCAGCATCAGCCTGCCTCAGCCTCAGCCTCAGCCTCAGCCTGCCTCAGCCTCAGCCTCAGCCTGCTTCAGCCTCAGCCTCAGTCTGCCTGCAGCCTCGGCCTCAGCCTCAGCCTGCCTTAGCCTCAGCCTCAGCCTCAGCCTGCTTCAGCCTCGGCCTGCCTCAACCTCAGCCTCACTGCTTCAGCCTCAGCCTAAGTCGCCTATCAGCCTCGGCTCAGCCTCAGCCTGCCGTAGCCTCAGCCTGCAGCAGCTCAGCCTCTGGCTCAGCTCAGCCTCTGCCTCAGCCTAGGGCCTCAGCCTCAAAAGCCCCCCCCCCCCCCCTCCCCCCCCCGCCTCAGCCGCCCCCTGCATCAGCCTCATCCTCATCCTGCTCAGCCACAGCCTCACCTGCTTCAGGCCTCAGACCTCAGTCTGCCTTCTGCCTCGGCCTCAGCCTCCGCCTGCCTCAGCCTCAGCCTGCCTCAGCCTCACCCTGCATCAGCCTCAGCCTCAGCCTCAGCCTGCCTCAGCATCAGCCTGCCTCAGCCTCAGCCTCAGCCTGCATCTGCCTCAGCCTCAGCCTGCTTCAGCCTCAGCCTCAGTCTGCCGTCGGCCTCGGCCTCAGCCTCAGCCTGCCTCAGCCTCAGCCTGCATCAGCCTCAGCCTCAGCCTCAGCCTGCCTCAACATCAGCCTGCCTCAGCCTCAGCCTCAGCCTGCCTCAGCCTCAGCCTCAGCCTCAGCCTGCTTCAGCCTCAGCCTCAGTCTGCCTTCAGCCTCGGCCTCAGCCGCAGCCTGCCTCAGCCTCAGCCTGCATCAGCCTCAGCCTCAGCCTCAGCTTGCCTCAGCATCAGCCTGCCTCAGCCTCAGCCTCAGCCTCAGCCTCAGCCTGCCTCAGCCTCAGCCTCAGCCTGCTTCAGCCTCAGCCTCAGTCTGCCCGCAGCCTCGGCCTCAGCCTCAGCCTGCCTCAGCCTGAGCCTGCCTCAGCCTCAGCCTCAGCCTCAGCCTACCTCAGCCTCAGCCTAGCAGCCGCCACAGGAAAACAGCATCAGCCTGCCTAACCCCTCCCCCCAGGCCCCCCCCCCTCAGCCTGTCCTCACAGGCCTCAACTCTCATCCACACGCATCACCTTCTTCATCCCAAGCCTCAGTCTGCTAAGCCTTGTCCTCAGCTCAGCCTGCCACCAGCCCAGCCTGCACAGCCTCAGCCTCAGCCTCACCCTGCCTACAGCATCAATCGTGCCTATCACCTCAGCTGCCCAGCCGTCACCTCAGCCTGCTTCAGCCTCAGCCTCAGACTGCCTTACAGAGCCACGGCCACGGCCTCAGCCTGCCTCACCTCACCCATCCTGCCTCACATGCCGTTTGCAGTGCCCAGAATGAATTCTGGCTCGCGCACAATCTCACAGACGCCTACAGTTGGCTTCCGGGCATTCAAACATGCCCAGAATGTGGAGTTCGTTCTGGGAAGTCGAAGAGCACGAAGTGGCCTACATTTGGCTCCGGGCATTCAAAATGTGGCCCGGGAATGGAGTTCTGGGAACTCGAAGAGCACGAAGTGGCCTACAGTTGGCTCCGGGCATCCAAAATGTGGCCCGGGAATGGAGTTCTGGGAAGTCGAAGAGCACGAAGTGGCCTACAGTTGGCTTCGAACATTCAAAATGTGGCCCGGGAATGGAGTTCTGGGAGGTCGAAGAACACGAAGTGGCCTACAGTTGGCTTCGGGCATTCAAAATGTGGCCCGGGAATGGAGTTCTGGGAGGTCGAAGAGCACGAAGTGTGTGACTGTTTGCTTAAAACGAGCCCGGCCCTGAGCCCGGCCCTCGCTGTCCGGATGCCGCCCAGACCTCCCTTCTGAGTCATCAGATGCTCTCTTTTGACACCACTAGAAACCTATCAGTCTTCGCTGTTAGGTAAAAACATACTGAAAAAATCGTCCCTTGACTTTTTTTAACTACTTTTGAATTGTCCTCCTGTCTGTAGAGGGACACGCCCGACTTCACAATAACCAGCCTCGACTGCAGACCCGCATCCAGAGAGCAAGGCCCCCGCCTCTCGCTCCTCCTCGTCCACCCGCACGCGCTTCTTTGGCGGGGACGGCTGCTCCTCCGCGGGCGCGGCCGCCGCGAGCGCCAGGGCCTGCTCCACCGCCAGCCTCTTCCTTGGGAAGCGCCGCGGGCCAGCGCTGCGGCCCGGCTTCTTTTTTTCGCCGAGGGGGGTGGCCTTATGGTCAAGAGTCCTCGATCCGCGATCGATCCTCGATCCTCCACCCTCGACCGCTCCTCGACCCTCGATGCTCTCCGATCCTCAGGAGGGCCAGCAGGGATGCGCGACAAGGGAGCGCGGAGGGGATCGACTACAGAGCTGCTGTAGCCCCTGACTGATTTTGTCGTCGAATTTACGAAACATGTCGTAGAATGTTTCGTAGATGTGTGAGCATTCTACGTATTGGATTTGTTTTCGACGAACGCTTCAAAGTTGGGGTGGATCAATTATGCAGTCAATCTCCTACTCAAACAAGCAAAATGGATACTGCAAGGATGCGCGACACGGAAACGAGCCCCTTGGACGCTCATGTCGAAGCTTTTCGAGCGTTCTGGCCATCGAAAGCGGTTAACGATGGGCCGAAGAGGCAAGGATGCAAGGGTACCCTTGGGCCCTTGGGGGGGTGACCCATATCCTTGTCATCAGTTTCGACTGTAACGCTGCCCCTTGGTTCTCAGGAGAAAGGGAACGTTTCAGGTTCGAGGTTTTCCAACGTTTTGAGCCTCCTGGGAGGCCCTCGTCGCGCACAAGGGCGTGGAGGGAGGGAGGGGGGAAGGGTCCTTAGTGAGGGGCAACGAAAGGGGGGGACTGGCATTTGGGGGATGCATCGACCTGGAATCAGCGGCGATCAATGGGCGATTGGGGGTCGATGCATCCTTCCCTATGCCTATCCCCACAGCCTGGGACCGAAACGGACGGACCTGCACCCGCAAAAAGGACGGCCGCGACGCCCTCTCGCGAACCGGAAACGGCCAATTCGCTAATCGACGTGTCAGGGTAGGAGGTCTATGAGAGAGCGTGATCCACCGCTGCTTTACTGTGGAAAATTGCCGCCCTTTTCCTCCGGAACCCGGGGGTCCCCCCCCCCCTCTCCGAAAATCCCCCCACCCTCCTCTCCCCCCCCCCCCTTCCCCGGGCAAAACCCCCCCCCCTCCCCTAACCCCCCCCCCCTCGAGCTCGAAAACCGGGGGGGGTCACACGTTCAACCCCCCCCCCCCTCGAAAACCGGAGGGGGGGTCACTACCAGTTCGAACCACTGAGCTGTCCCACTGTTCCCACCGCTGTCCCCACTGTCCCTCCCCACTGTCCCCACTGCACCTCTGTCCCATTGTCCCACCGCCGTCCTCGCCACCGCCTTCACCACTGTCCCCACCACCACTGTACCCTCCACTGTCCTACTGTTTCCACCACATTCCCACTGTCCCCACACCACTGTCCCCACCACCACCGTCCCCACCACTGTCCCACTGTCCCCACTGTTCCCACCATTGTCCTCACCATTGTCCCCACCACTACCGTCCCCACCACTGTCCCACTGTCCCCACCACTGTCCCGCTGTCCCCTCACCACTGTCCCCACCACCACCGTCCCCACCACTGTCCGCACCCCCCCTCGGTTTTCGAAGGGGGAGGGGGGGTTCGAACCGGTAGTGACCCCCAACCGGTAGTGACCCCCCCCCGGTTTTCGAGCTCGAGGGGGGGGGGGGGTTCGAACCGTAGTGAGCCCCCCCCTTTTTCATGATGAACTGGGGGGGGGGGGGCGCAGGGGCTCGAACCGGCAGTGACCCCCCCGGTTTTCCGGAGGGGGGAGACCCCCCGGCTCTCCGCTAGCAGCGGTAGAACACGCTCTTTCAGGTCTATCGACCTCCGACAGTCCCCCTCCCCTGCCGCCTTCGGCGACGGCCCTGCAGGGCACCCCGAAGGCTCCTGCCATCCCCTCCCCCCCCCTCCCCCTCCCCCACGGGACAGAAGCGAAGGCGGGGCAAAGGCAGAAGTCCTCCTGCTTCGAATACAGTCGGCCTTGCAAAACAATCAAATAGTAAAAGAAAATGTGTTTGGGGAGTCGTTTGTCTGGAGCCCTCGGGTTCTGTCCGACATTGGGGCCCGGGGGCCGCGGCTGGGACAGGACCAAGGGCCGAGGCCGGGGCTGGGAGCGCGTTCGCCCGTCGCATTGTCTGGGGCAGAATTGGGAAGCAGTTTTCTAGGCCGGGGCCGGATTGAACAGGACACGCGAGAGGACACAGGACCCTTCCGAAGGCCACATTGCCACAGGAATGTAGGAATCATGGGTCGCGAGACACAGGACACAAGGGTACCCTTGACTTGGCAGGGTCGACCTACTAATCTGAACCGACTCTAAGAGATGGACTCATTACAGTGTTGATTTCCCGCCAGAACTTGCCCATCAAATCTACAATACATATGTAGATTGTTCGTGGTTGGCAATACGTTTCAGCATGTCTCTTCGAACCGACGAAAATTTCTGATTTGGGTAAAATGAATTATGTAGTCGACCTCCTCCCCCTTCCTACATCATCATGATATCACGTTTCCTCTTCGCCCTGCAGCCTTCCCTTCCTCCTTCTCCTCCTCCTCCTCCTCCCCCTCCTCCTTTTGGGCGCGCTCCTCTTCATCCACCTCCCTCTTCTCTCCTACTGCAGCTCCTCCTCCTCCTCCTCCTGGTCCTCCTTCGAAGGCTCTGCGAAAATGATTCCGTTTCACTGCTGGGCCGCGTGTTGCTGCACATCCCTGATCAGGGCAACTCGACTGGTGTCTGTCGTTGGATGGGCTGGTGGGGGTACTTTTGGTCGGCGGCCGCGCGACAACGGTCTGGCGGCAACAGGCGATGTCCAGGACGGCGGTACCAAGCGAATTGCACACGAAGCGTGCGGTGCACGTGCACTGAGCAAAATGCTCCACATTCGCAAGCAGTCGCACCTAGGCGCCGCCCAATCCAAAGTGAACGAGCGGCCATGAGTGCGAGTGCTACGGAAGTAGTCGCCCTTGCGGCGCCAAGCTCCGAGCAGCTTATCAGGCAGACAACGAGGCACAAGCCCGGGGGACAGGCTGCTGGCGGTGGAAAACAGGGGCCGTCGGCGCTGAAGGCTGAACCACTCAGCGCGCAGCCAACGAACTCCACCGCAGAGTTGTTGGGGCCGGCGGCAACCGACGGACGAGTCGGCACCGGCGGAAAAGGCCCGGGAGGTGCGCCAGGTAGGCTGGTGGGGGTACGCGAAGCGTCACAAATTCTGGTCAGAACGCGCCCCGGGAGAGGCAGGCCTGGGGAGCAGCGGTACTGGTATATTCTGGTTCCAAAAGAATGGGTTCAGGCTGGAGGTTCGAGGTCGTCGGACGTGTTCGTAGGTTCTCGTCGGGTTACCAGTTTCGGGGTACCTTCTGGCACTCGCCGAAAGCCATCTGGGGTGCCCGGATCGTCCCGAACGGCCGCTGGGGGAGCCAAACTGCGACCCGAAAGCCAGGAGAGGGGGGGGGGGGCGCAGCACGGCCCAAATGGACGAGCGGGGGCCAGCGGACGTGCTGAGACAAGCAGAAAAGTGGCGATGAAAGATGAACACACCGGCACCGTGGCCCCCCGGCCATGCTATCCGCCCCCTCTGGGTCTCACCCCTGCAGCGGGGGCCAGTCCACAAGAAGCCTTCCGCCAGAAACCCAGCCCTGAGACCCCCCAGGAAGTCCAAGGATCTTTGGCGTGGGCACGTCGCGCTCTCCAGGGCAGAACCGCCGAAACCCAGGAAACCCAGGGCACTCTGGAGGCAAGCAGGGCGTTTCTTAGCACGGGCCCCCACTGCACATATGGGTAAATCGTGGATCTCTGGGAGCAGGCGCGTCCGCAGGATGCATCGGGTGCCGCGACCGTTCCAGAACGCTCTCTGAAAGCGTGCCGGAACGCTTCCTGGCGATGCATCCCCACCTCAGGCCTGCCCGAACACACCTCGGGTCTCCCTGGCGCGCGGAGCGCGCCAGGGGCGACGCAGAAGGCGCCGCCATGGGGGTTTACTCCCCCCCCCGCCCCTCCCCCCCCCCCCTATCTGCCCCCCCCCCCTCCGCCGTAGCCCCTCCCCCCTCCCCAACCACCATCCCCTCCCTTGCATGCCGTCCACGCAGCCCCCGCAGCCTGCTTCCTTCCCCCCTGGCCCCCCCCCCGAAGTGGGACGACACACCTGCGAGTCTCCTCCCTCCCTTCCTTTTCTCCCCTCCCCTCTCAGATCCCTCTTTACTCTTATTTCATCGCACACCCCGCCCCCCAACGCAGCACTTCCTGCCACAAGGCAAACCCCCCGCCCCACCAAAGAACCTGGACCATGGCCCTAACACACCACCCACCAGGAAGCTGCCAGCCGTCTGACCGCGGAGCATTGTACTGATCGGAGGGACGCCTTCTCCCAGCACCTCACTGCGACCAGTCACCAGCGACAAAAAGGACCGCGACAGTGCTCCCTCCGCCAGCATTCGGGCACCCAACCAGCGCGCCAACCAGCTGGTGGCTTCCCTTCAGCGGACACAGGAACAGCCAACACCGCTGATAGATAGGTTCCATCGTGAACATGAACGGTTTCCCCTGGGGCCGTAGGCGACCCGAGGAGGAGGTGGAGGAGGTGGAAGAGGGGGGGGGAGGAGGAGATGGAAGAGGAGAAGGAGGAGGAAGAGGTGGAGGAGGAGAAAGAGGAGGAGGAGGAGGAGGAGGGAGGAGGGAGGAGGGACGGGGAGGACGATGGAGGAGGGAGGAGGGAGGGAGGAGGGAGGAGGGAGGAGGGAGGAGGAGGAGGGAGGAGGGAGGAGGGGAGGAGGGAGGAGGGAGGAGGGAGGAGGGAGGAGGGAGGAGGGAGGAGGGAGGGGAGGGAGGGAGGAGGAGGAGGAGGAGGAGGTAGGAGGAGGAGGAGGAGGAGGAGGAGGGGAGGAGGAGGAGGAGGTCGGATGAGGAGGATGGAGGAGGAGGAGGAGGAGGAGGAGGAGGAGGAGGAGGAGGAGGAGGACGAGGAGGACGGGTCGCCTGAACCCTCGGAGAAACCCTCCACATGCACAGGAGGCCTGGGCTCTCACTCCACGGGCTTTCCGCCCTGACGCGACCAGAAGGACCACCCTCCAAGGCTACCCCCAGACTCTCGTCCAATCCCATATTAGGTGGCACACCGAGGCCGGCCGTATGCTGCTCCCATCTGAGGGGCCCCAGGCGAGCGCGCGTCGAAGGGACCCCCCCCCAAGAGAAAAGCCAGGAGTGGCACGGCGCTCGCACGGCCGCAGCCCCGCCGCGGGACAGCCCTCCCGAAGCGAGAGGGGACCCCGAAGACAGCAGCCTCGCGGAGAAGAGCAGCGGCGCAGCGGCGGCATCGTACTTCAGGACCACATCCCAGAAATGATGCCGAGCACCCAGAAAAGTGTCGAAACAATGTCGAACGAATATCGCCTCCCGGAGCCCGACACGTGAAAACCCTCCAAGTTCGGTGCTTTCCTGGTGCTCGAAATTCTTTCTGGTGATCAAGGTTACAGTAGGTTGGAACATTGGAACATCATAAAGCTAGCACTCCTCAAACGCGGATCCCGTGAACAGTTGGCCCCTGCTCACTTGTCTGCCTCTTGTGGGCCGTTGCGGGACGCCCCAAAGCGGCGCCTCTCTTCGCAGGGCGCCGAAGCGTGCATGCCAACCCACGCTCAAAGCCAGCGCCTCACTCCGCACGGTAGCGCTGACGGGCCCCATAGCGGCCGGGGCCACATGCGAACCCTACCCCATCCCCCCCACGATTTCTGAGGGGAGGGTGGGGTTCACTTCGCTCGGGAGCTCCCGAACGAAGTGAACCCCACCCTCCCCCTCAGAAATCGTGGGGGGTAGGAGTAGGGTTCGCATGTGGCCCCCTAGGCCTGATCACCGCCGGTCGTCTCTTTTTTCCAACCCGGGACCTCCATCAGTCCGCGCCAATTGGGAGGTGATCCCACCACCCCTGCTCAGCACGCGGCGCCTCCCGCACTGTGAGGCGGGTCCACCTTGAGCACGTGTGGCTCGGGGGCCCAGACCACAATGGCTCTGTCCGAAGTGGCGCGCGCTCCCCTGGCCCCTCTCATCTCGTCTCCCCTGCCTCCTCCCTCCCTCCGTACCTCCTGACCCTCTCCTCTCCTCGTCTACAATGATACACTCTGAATACAACAACTCTCCCCTCTCTCGCTCTCTCTCTCTCTCTATATATATGTATCTCTCTCTCTCTCTCTCTCCTGACTTTGTGCGGAACATGCTCGGCCCTCTCCGCGCAATGACTGCTTTCTCACATTCAGGAGTCCAACAATTGGTTCCCCCAACCATCCAGCGGCATTGGATCCCCGTTTTGAAGAGTCAGCGCCCCGCGTTCCTTCCTTCCTTCCTTCTCTTCTCCTCCCTCCTCCCATCCCTGCCTCTGCCCTCCGCATGTCCATTTCGGCACACCCGAAGCACCATGAAGGGGGCTCCACCTAAAGGCCCTAGTGGCAGCGCCCGCATGGCACCACCGCACCCGTTTCGGCACACCCCTCACGCGCTTCGTGGCCCCATGGGGGGCTCCACCGAAGGCGCCAGTGGCAACGCCCGCCTGACACCACCACGCCGGTTCGGCATACCCCTCACCCTTTTCGTGGCCCCTTAAGGAGCTCCACCGAAGGCTCCAAAGGCAGCGCCCGCATGGCACCACCGCACCCGTTTCGGCACACCCCTCACGCGCTTCGTGGCCACATAGGGAGCCCCACCGAAGGCCCCAGAGGCAGCGCCCGCCTGGCACCACCGCGCCCGGTTCGGCATACCCCTCCCCACCGAAGGCTCTAAAGGCAGCGCCCGCATGGCACCGCCGCACCCGTTTCGGCACACCCCTCACACGCTTCGTGGCCCCATAGGGAGCTCCACCTAAAGCCCCAGTGGCAGCGCCCGCATGCCACTGCCGCACCCGTTTCGGCACACCCTTCACGTGCTTCGTGGTCCCATAGGGAGCTCCACCTAAAGCCCAGTGGCAGCGCCCGCCTGACACCACCGCGCCCGGTTCGGCATACCCCTCACACGTTTCGTGGCCCCTTAGGGAGCTCCACGTACGGCCCCAGAGGTAGCGCCCACATGGCACCGCCGCACCCGTTTCGGCATACCCCTCACGCGTTTTGTGGCCCCCATAGGAGGGAGCTCCACCTAAGGCCCCAGTGACAGCGCCCGCCTGGCACCACCGCACCCTCTTCGGCACACCCCTCACACGTTTCGGGCCCCATGCGGAGCTACACCCAAGGCCTCAAAGGCAGCGCCCGCATGGCACTGCCGCACCCGTTTCGGCACACCCCTCACACGTTTCGTGGCCCCATAAGGAGCTCCACCGAAGAGGATACGCACCACAACAGAACTCACAACTGCATATGGTTGGATCTTTCGCCCCGATCATTGTGTTGTTTGCAATGCGACTGTTTTCGGTGCTTCAAAATAATATTCCCGCTGCAGCGCGGGCCCCATTTTCGGATCGAGAATGGCGTTCTCGCCCAAACTTGGGTCCCTTGCCCCATCCCCTCTCCTCGCCCCACCTCCTCTCCCCTCCCCTCTCCCCTCCCCCCTCCTCGCCCCTCCCCTCGCTTCGCCCCCCTCCTCGCCCTCCCCGGCCCCGACGGAGGGCGGCACGCCTGTGCTCCTCCTCCGCCCTCTCCTCCCTCCGCAGCTGCTCCCGCAGCCAGGCCCTCTTGGCGGCCAGGCGCAGCCCGTCCAGCTGCACGGGCAAGCACCTGATGCTCACGCCCCGCCCTCCGCGCCCTCCCGCCCTCCCGCCGGCGCGCAGCTTTCGGCACGACTGCTCGAACCAGCTCGACCCTCCCACCCCACTGGAGGAGCGACAAGCTGGAGGCCTGGAAATGGGCACCAACAACACAGGGGGTTGCCTCCACAGGGGGAAGATGATCCTTGATTTCGGTGTTGGTGGTAATGTTTCGGTCACCTTGGAAGCCAGAATATTACCACCATCACCGAGATATGGATGCTCTTCCCTCGGTGGAGGCACACCGCCGATATTGGTGTTGGTGTCAACCTCTAGGCCTGCGACAACTACTCGAACCAACTCAACCCTCCCACCCCACTGGAGGACCGACGAGCTGAGCGTTTTCTGAGGGTGGAGGGCTCAGGGCGAAATCCACATGGGCTTTTGCGCCTCGAAGATGATTTCGCCCTGTGATTCACCTTTTGCAAATTCAAGCCTCGACAATCCGTCGAAACGGAATTCAGATTTCACCGTTTGTCCTCCACCCAAAGAAAATGCTCTCTTCCTTAGAGCATACGCCGCTGCTCGAGCGCGGCACGCTCCCGTTTTTGTTTGATAACTGGCTGCCGCCAGGACCGTCGGATATGGGGCCGCGAACCTTTGATGCGAGAGGAGGAGGGGGAGGAGGAGGAGGAGGAGGAGGAGGAGGAGGAGGAGGAGGAGGAGGAGGAGGAGGAGGGAGAGGTCGCCTAATTTCGCGCATCGCGCCCCGAGATGCGCCACGCGCGCTTATCGCCGCGCCCTCGCGCCGCCGGCCTGGAGAAGGGCACCTCAGCGGCCGAGGCCGGGACGCGCGACTTGCAGTTGTCTTCGCGCGCATGGGGGCGGCCTGCACGCTGGGCTGCGCTCGGAGTGGAATTCGCGAGTGGAGACTGGCAGTTCTGGGGTGCAGCGGCCGTCCTACCTCGCTGAAGCGCGCGTTTCCCACGTGGTGTTCGTCGGGTGCTGGACCTCGCATGCTGGGGCAGCTGGACACGTCGCAATAATGGCCCAACAATAGGGTTATTTCGGAAATGGTTCTGCGATGCTGTGGGGGCCCAAGCGGGAATGAACAAGACCGGGCGCCTCTGTCGACACGTCTACCTCGACTACTTTTCAACTCGTCACTCATCATCTTTCTCGGTCTCTTCTGATGGGGGGTGGAAAAGTAGGAAGTCTCGAACAAGAGCCGCCCCCTCAAGCATCATTCCCAACTTTCCTCGCTTTCCTCCGCGCTCACCCTCCTCAAGCCCCCTCGCCCTTCCTCCCCAACACGCGCCCCCCGCTGTTTTATTCCGTGTTCCTCACCAAACGATCCTCCAACAAAAACACGCAAAAAACGGACAAAACCCACAGAAAAAACTGGCACAATAAAAACCCACACAAAAAAACTGGCACGACCTGACCCAGTACAACTGTCGGGGGCGGCCAAGAGGGGGCACGGCTGAGCACGACCAAGCACGATCCATTACGACCGGCTCGCGCGCGGCCGCGGCACGCCAGGCACGACTAGGCAAGACCCACGCCCATCCCCGGGACCCCCCCGGAACCCTCCCATGACACCCTCAGGAGCAAGCGCGCGCGGCCGGGCCCTCAGGCGCGGGATTGCTTTGGACCGACCGCACATGCCACTCGGGCGGTGGAGAATCGAGACAACGTCCGAAGACAGAGACGGCGGCACACGACAGCGACGCCGCGTGGGGACACAAACACAAACACACACACACAAAACAATACATAGCAACACGATCCCACATGTTGAATTCGATTGCTTCGCATATGTGGTCATGGCGCTATTGTGTGTCACAATGATTTGCCATTTTGCTTCATCACCAGCATGCTGCGACAATCAGAGCTGCCGCATCTTCCAAAACAGCAGTTTCTGGCCCAACTCTAGCCGTGGCATCGCATGATCTAAGGGTATATGACGATGCGCTGACCCAGGCCCTTGTCCGCATCACCCTTCATCTCCTGTCGGTGGCCGTCCTTCCGCGCAACCACACCGAATACTTCGCCATCTTCCACCTCGTCATTTCCTGACTGAGGAGCGAAGGGGAATCGCTTCGTCGCGCTCCTGGCCATCTCCCCGCAGATATCTGACTACTTCAATATCAGTGCGCCCCTTATTGTAATCTTCAATATGTACCGCGCGCCCCGTGAGTCGATCTGCGCCCTCGTCATCCTGAGGGAATGCCACCCTCGCGGCGCAACTGGAGCACGCGATGTCGCTCAGGTTCGCATGCGGATCCCTCGTGGATCTTCTCCTGTTCCGAGGTCGGCCCCGACGCGCGGGTGCTCGGCGAAGAAGGCGCACGCGGCGGCGGGCCCACCCTTCGTAATATCGCGAGCTCGGCCCCACTCGCAGGAGACCAGGCTCAAGTTGCCAGCGCGCCCGCAGCACAACTGACGACGCGACGCTGAACGCTGCCCACAAGAGGCCCCCGCTCACCGAGCCGCCCCGCTCGCGAGCGCCGCCATCGCCCGCGGCGCGCCGGCGCAGCAGGCGGCCCGCGGCCCCGCTCATGGCGCGGCACATTCGAATCATTGTCCCGAATATAACTGTTGACCATCTGACGCAATGCAATATTAGGTGACGTGAAAGAAACTGGTTCTCCATGCATCTCGGATGAACGACGTTTTTTGCCTCTCCCCCCTCGCCTTCTTCTTGGCTGGCACTTCTCCGGGGGGGTTCGACCTGCTGCGCGCTCGAAGCCGCCCCGCCACCTGGCCCGCGGACGTCTCGAACCCCCCGGCGGTCGCGTCGTTCTCGCCCGAGACGAGCATCGCTGAGACAGGGTGGCCATGGGCGTTGTCTCGACGCCTTGGCGCTGGTTGCCGGCGCGCCATGAGCGGCAGCGGCTGCGAACGCGCCGGACGTTTGCCGCGCCAGCTCGCGCGCAGACGCGCCGCCGCTGGAGCGGGCGGTGGCGAAGCTGCGAAGCGCATCAACGCACGGCGTGGAGTCTCTACTCATGGACGAGCTGCTGCGCATACGCCACATCGCTGCGCCCAGTGGCCCATCCGCGAGCACGGCACTCACCCCCCCTTGCCTGGCAGCTGTGCTGCTGTTGCAACAGCGCTCTTGAATAACGCCCTGGTCGCAAGCGACCCCGCCGCCGCCCCCCGACGAGGCGGCCCCCGCTCCGATCCAAGACTCGCGCCGCATGGCAAGGGGGGTCGCAGTCGAATCGCCGAGTCAAATCATCGATCGATATGAATCGGATCGGCGGAGATCGGCAGCCGAGTCGGGGATAATCGAATCGATAGACATCGGCAGCCGGCGGGCCTTCATTGAGACATCGGACTCCAGAGCGGAACCCGAACTCGAATCGAATCGGAATCGGAAGCCATCGAAATCGAATCGAATCGAATCACGGTGGGCCCCCCGCAGAAACGATCCCTGCCGCCCTGGCAATCCGACGGCCCCACTGGGCAGACGGCGACGAACCCGCTGCTGCCCGCTGCCCCGCGGCTGCCAATAGAAATCGCGGCGCGGCCCGGGCCGCCGCGCCCGCGCCTTCGTGAAGGGGCCCAAGGACGCGCAAATAAATGCGTACAAATAGAATGATTCGACCTATTTTCTCATATGTTCTGGGTGTTTGCCTTCCCCCCGCTTCCCACATTTGCCCATGCTTTCCGGGGAATCGACGACGAATTGCGCCTGCGCGTTTCCTGTCCTCTTGACTTCGAGCATCTCCTCGGGGAGACCGCCCCGCCAGCGGGGGGCGAGGGCGAGCCCGCCGGCCCCCCCCCCCCCTCGGGCGGGAGCGCGCAAACGGCCGCGGCCCTCCGCCGGGTCGCGCCCCGTCGTCTGGCACGCCTGCGTCTGCGCCATCATCGCTAGGAGGGGAAGCCTTCGCAGCGGCGAGCCTGCCCGCGACGACGCCCTCGAGCCGCCCGCGCCGGCGCGTCGAGGGGCCGCTTTCGGGGGCGCGCAGACGTGGATTAGCGATCCATGGGTTCGGCGCGCGGTCGCCAGAACCATGGATCGGGGGGGGCGCCCTCCCCGGAGCGCGGCCAGCGCCGCCTCGCTCGGCGGCGGAAATCCGCGGTTTCCCATGGAGACGGGGCCCGTCGCTAATCTACGTCCCCCTGATCCACGTCTGCGATCGCCCGACTCTCTCGCGGGGCTCGGGGGCGCAGACGCCGCGCCGCCGGCGCGCCGGAGCGAGGCCCTCCCCCCGCCGGAGAAGCGCGCCCCATCGGGCGCCTCGCCCTGCTGGGCGCCAGCTGCAGACGCGCGGCCGCCCGCCGACGTCGCCGCCGCGGGGCCTCTTCACCCCCGTTGACACCTGCGCCAGCCGCCCGAGGGGCACTCGCTCCAAGAAGGGCGCCAGCAGCAGAAAGCGGGGGCGCGACCTCGAGGGCGCAGTGGAAACTTGAACTCGAAAGCAGCAATGAACTCATTGACCCCGTTGGCGCCGATGCGCCGCGGCCGGCGCTGAAAGGCCGGCGCGGCGCGAAAACCCCCGCGCGGACGGGGCAGCGGGCGGCCAGCGGGAGTCGCCCCGCGATGGGCTAGACGGCGCCCGCCCCGCATTGTTGGGCCGAACTGACTTGGGCCGAGCTGCCCAGGCGAAGGGTCGCGCAATTTCTATCTGGACCACATAGATCACCGAACGCGCACATACCGCCTAATGACCAGAGCGCCGCCATTTCCTCTTGAGATAAACCAGCTCTGGTCACCGCGTCAGCCTGTAGATGCTCGAGCGCATAAGCCTGAAACAAGCTCGCGATGTTGAGTTGCCGCGCCCGCGACAAGGCGATGGCGAGGAAGCTTGTTCGACGGTGTTGCGCGAGGGCGTTTGCAGCAGGTTTGCCCCTGCGAATCGCGATGCCATGGTGGATAAAAAAAAAAACATCTGTGACTTCTGACTAGTTGACGCGCGACCAACACTGCGGCCACGTCGCGGAGGCACGCGGCGCCCCAGGAATGCGAATGAAGATGCGACCCTGCATGCGGCAAATGCCACTGGCCATGCAGCCCCTCGC